CTGATGAAGATGAAAATCTCTTGATGATGTGGGTGAGCTTCGAGCAAGGCTTTGTGGGCTACTTACTTCATTGCTTGGCAATTGATTTTGTTGAGGTACTTCTTCTTCTTCTAGCATTAATCTAACTTTTTCGGTATCTTTAACATTTTCACAATTCTTAGCTTTATCTTCTTCAAAGATCACATCTCGACTCATGATAACTTCTTTTGTGATAGAATTTTATAAATTATACCCCATCATTATATTGCCAGAGCCGATGAAGACACACTTTAGCCCTTTTTCATCAAGTTTTGTTCTTCTTACTTTTGCTTTTGGAATCTTTACATAGACCATACAATCAAACATTCGAAGGTGATTTGCACTAGGCTTGTATGTACTCCAAGCTTCTTCACGTGTTACTCTATGAACATTCTTGGTAGGATATCAATTCAGTAAATATATTGCACTTGAAACTGCTTCAGTCCAAAATTCTTTAAGCAATTTCTTATCTTTCAAAATACTTCTAGCCATATTGAGAATTGCACATTTCTTTCTTTTAGATGCACAATTCAACTGAGAAGTGTACACTGGTATAAATTTTTATATAATGCCATCCTCATTGCAAAAAAAATTGAAATGGACCGAAAGTGTATCCTTATCCTTGATATGACTGCAACAACTTTATATGATAGCCACTCTACTTTTCAATGGTTTCTTTGAATTCTTTGTGCGCATTCAAAACCATAAACTTTCTTTTAAGAAAATACGCCCACGTCTTCTCGCAATAATCATCAATAAGAAAGTATCTATTCTATCCGTGTCATATTGGCTTCAACGGACTACATATAGCTATATGCACTAGCTATAGTGGACTTGTTTCCTTTGCAAAATTTGTTCTTGCATTCTTGCCAATAATGCGGCATTCACAAACTTCATTCGGATGAACAAGATACAATAGCCTCTTCAACATATTTTCTTTCAACAATAGTTTTAATCCTTTAAAATGTAAATGTCCAAGTCTCATGTGCCACAGCCAATTCTTATCATTTATAACGACATTTAGACATTTTGGTAAGTCATGAGCAATGTTTAAAGCAAACATTCTATATTTGGACATTCGTACTTCGGAGATTGGATATCCATGATCCTGTTTGATTATCAAACATGAGTATTTCAAATTGACGTCATATCCCTTTTCTAGGAGTTGTCCTATTTGGCACATAATAAACATGAGTAATATAACCGTGACCACCATTATTGAATTTGATTAAAATATTTCCTCTTCCTTCTACTGGACTTTGGAAAGGTTGCCAAAAGAGACATGTCCATGTGGAGTTTCATCAAGTTCCATGAACATGAGTTTTTTCTCACACATGTGATTGCTTGCTCTTGTATAGAAAAACCATGTCTTTATTATTTGTTGTTGCATGATAAGCCATTAGTATCAGTGATTTTAGATCACTTTTATCACTAAAGTTGGCATCCTTGCCGATTTTAGCTCTGACAATCTTTGCATGATATTCATTGCTATAATGTCCATACTTATGATAGTTATAACACTGCACATTCCTTTTATCAACAATCCGATGATTGGAGCAATCTCTTTTTCTTCCTTGTCCACTGTCCTAACTTTTACTTGTATTCTTC